AAAACGCAATTCTACCTCATCAAAAAAAAAAAAAAAAAACATTTTCAATCCGAAAACCTTATGTCATTGGAACCACTCATTTGCAGCCGAACGTTAAACATTGAATTTGCAATGAAAATATCCAAATAATGCGTTTGAGTTAGATATTTTGCAGCAACGGACGTGTACACTTTTTACTCCCAATCCGGTTTAGGGCCATTTAACCAACCAATACCAGATCCGACCCGTTAGCTCTAGGGTTTAAGTTCCCTCTCATTTCTTCATCGTCTTCTCCCTTTCTCCCCCCAAATTCTAGGGTTTTAAACCAGAGTTCATCACTCAGGGCTTGAGTGCGCCATGCCCCAAATGAGAGCCATTCCCTTCTTCTTGTTCTCTCACCTCAAACGAACCCGAACCCGATATCATCTCCCTCCGCTCATCCATTACCGAAACCTCCATGCATCGTCCCCATCCAATGCCCCCACTCTCGAAACCCCAGCTCCCTCGATCCAGAATCGGATGCCGAGACTCGAACCCGAATCCGAATTCGACGCCAACATGAACGAGTTCCTCTCCCGCTTCGTCCACTCGATCAAGCCCATCCTCTCCCAATCCTTCCCGGATTTGACGAAGCAAACCCTAGATTCGATGATGCTTCTCATTTGCCAGCGGGTCGCTGCTGAAATAGATCAAAGCTCCCAAGGAACGGCGCCTGCCGTCGATCTTAGTGAAGATCTGTGGAAGACGATTAATGAAGTTAGCAAGTCGGTTCATGATGCTATGAGGAGAGATCGGATGAGAGACGAGCTGAAGAAGTACTTGCATCATGATGATGTTAAGGAAATGTGTCGATTCGCAGGTGATATTGGGATTCGTGGAGATATGTTGCGGGAGTTTAGGTTTAAATGGGCGAGCGAGAAGTTAGAGGAGGTTGAGTTTTATAGGAACCTTGAAAAGATTAGGGAAAACACGTCGAGGGAGGAAGAAGAAGGGGAGAAGAGCTTAAAGGTGGAAGCTTTGCCAGAGAGGAAGGGGAAGATTAAGTATAAGATTTATGGGTTGGATTTGTCGGATGACAAGTGGGCAGAGGTTGCAGAAAGAGTGGAAGATGCGGAGGGTAAATATTTGAAGGACGAGGCGAAGCCAGTGGTTGGGAGGAGTAAGAGGCTTGAGGATAAGTTTTTCGGGTTGGATTGGAAGAAGGATGATCTGATGCCGGTGTTGAAGGAGTGGGCGGAGGCATTGGAAGCAAAGAGGGTGGATTGGCTTGCTTTGCTCGAGAGGATTAAGGAGAAGAATGTTGATATGTACTTCAAGGTATGAGTTCATTTACAAGTCCAATCGTTTTGCATCATTATTTATCATAATTATTGACTTTAGGACCTTTCCCATAAAATGAGAAGCCAGTGAGTATCACGAAAGGTCCGAACTTTATGTTCTGTTGATAACCTAACACCCTCGTTAAGAGGTAGGTGTATGTTGGAAAAGTGATATGGTTAGCAAGGTCTGAAAACTTGGCTCATTGATATAAGGATATCTTGGATTGATTTTGAAATATCTGGTCTGAAACTTCCCATTTTTATTAGATGAAAGGTCAGCTTTTGTTTAGGGGTGTATACTTCTATTTCTGTCTGAAACCATACTGCACCTTATACTTGAGAAAAAGAGGGGAGCCATTCTAAAGTCTAAACCTTATACTTGAAAAAAGAGGGGAAGCAATGCTTGCACCTCGCTGGATATGTAGGCAGATCAACAATTCTGTGAGTGTCGTTGCAGAAGAAGGAATACACAAGACGACTTCATATAGCCACCACCGGAATCTTGTCCCTTTCCTGTGACAGATATCTGTTATGTGGTACGGGGTTTTATTAGGTAGAAAGGTAGAAAGATTTCTCATATGTACGGTATCATACTTTGGTCGGGTTTTTACTAAGACCTGAAACCTGATGAATAATCAGGTGGAAAATAAATCAGGCCCAATTAAGTTACCAGCCTATCTTATATAGTTATATCTAACATTATAGACGTTGACCCTAAAATCTATTTATTATGTCTTCTTCAATAGTGATGGTGTCCAATCTAATACAATGGACCATTTTGCACGGAGAGAAATGAAGGACATGGTGGTAGAGCTAGACATTGTTCCAACTTTTAGCTGAAACAAAGCAGTAGGCTATTTGCTCCAGTCAACGACTTTTAAACACATTGTTGGCACTTTCTGCTGTTGAAGCTCCACTAGAGCCCCTAAAGTCCAAGGCATATTCTGCTTTTTTGTTTATACTCGATGTTACTATGGAGGTCTTAGGATATAAAGCCAAGGTTATTTATTCTCTATAGTGTAGACATGTTTTGAGGAGAGAGTAATACAAAAAGTTGGTGAGTTTTCACCGTAACCAGTTGTTCTGTCTCGGGAGGCTGTGCCAAAGATACTGCTAATGCCGCCAGTACATCTGCATACACGTTCTGGAGACTCAAGATGTACTCGATGAAGAATTCTTCAAATGTGTCTATCATTTCAATGGTCGCCTAGTGGTACGTGATCAGGTCTTGGCTTCTGACTTCGTACTCTCCTCGAACTTGATTGACTATCAGTTTAGAATCACCAAAAGCTTCGAGATATTCGACCCCCAGCTCTTTGGCTAAACTGAGTCTAATGAACAGCGCATTGTATTCAACCACATTATTGGAGCATGGCTTAGTAAGTGAACAGGCTCGAGGCAATACGTGTTTTCCTGAGGAAACTAGGACAACTCCGACTCCTGAAGATATTTTCGAACATCCGAGAGTGCTCACCACATTGGTTGCTTGTAAAGCCCCGTCGAAGTACAGTTGCCACACTTGTTAATGCGAAGTAGTATTGACTTCGTGGGTTTCATCCGATAAATCTTCGTACAATTTGGTTGTATCCTTCACAGGGTTAGCCGCTAGAAGATCACAAATTGCTTGCCCCTTCACTGATTTTTGTTGCTTAAAGCACAGGTCGTACTGAGATAGGAGTAGGGTCCATCTCGCTAACCTCAAATTCATTGAAGCCAGTTGAGTCATGAACACCCAAACTGTCACGCCCCGAAATCTGCAGCGGAAATTCATAAAATACGGGGTACGCGACAGCAGCGACCCGTGCACAAGACAAGTCTTATGCACGAGTCAAGCCTGGCAATTCATATCATATAGTTTATTTTCAAAATATTCATAAACCTGCTGATGATAGAAATCAGAGCAACTATATATATATGATCAGTACTTACAGCCCACAAGCTCACCGTTATAAGCATTTTTACAAAACAAAATAAAATGTGCTGAAGGTAACATCAACAAGAAGAGGCTCTCCATATAACGCCTCTCAGCCAAAAGTTCAAACCAAAAGTTCGGCTACTATGAAGCTGCGTCGGATCTGAAAAAAAAATTAAAAATAACGGAATGAGCTAGCGCTCAGTGAGAACATTTCCCACTAGAGTTCCTAGATAACTAACAAAATAGTAATAAGAATAGTTCTCAGAAATTAACAAATTTCAAGTTTTGCATGAGAAATTCACAGATAGTAGAATACGATCCAAATATTGTAATATTGTCATTTTTAAGAAAAAATACAACAATTATATTTTCTTTCTCATGTGCAACTGAATAAACTGTGAAATTTCTTGGAATCAAACTCTTTTGAATCAAGGTAAACATTAAGAAGGAAAAGAGCTACTAATTTGTACAAAATCAGAGAATTGTTGTTTTCTTAATTTCACAGTCAATTATCAGAATCTTATTTCTCGATGAGTATTTCATGAATGTAAAAGTCACCCCATAGGTCACACTAAGGCTACGAATTTTAGCCCAGTAGCAAGGGAATGCGTAACCGCATCAGATAACAGATAATTCCCAGGAACCGAATGCACCTAACACTGCCATAGGCTACCGGTCAAATACAAAGGGGCCAGAATAGATTTCAGAAGGGCCAATACAGAAGGGCCAAGGCCAATACAGAAGGGCCAAATAAAGGTGCATTCACCATATGGTAAGCATAATCAATTCATAGTGGACTATTTGAGGGTTTAAAAACATCAAGATCACATGTCAAATGAGAAATACTTTGCATATCAGAATTTGCAAATATTTCAAATGAAATTGACAAGGTAAAGCTTCTCATTTCTGTTAAAACGGTTTACAGATATTTATTTTTTCTTTTATTAGATACTAAGTCACAGAAAAATCTTTGAATCCGTTAAACTGTTGAAATACGTTCCAAATACTTTATCAAAACTTTTAGATAAAACAAAGTTCACAAGTATTTGAAAATTGCGTGAGAGCCAAATTTATTTTTCATATTTTATATAGGAATCGAATTTGCTTTTCATATATTGTACGAGGCTAACATCGTATTATAGGATGGACTACAATAGACATAGATCAAATATTTAATATACATGACAAGACATATTATTTATTTATTTATTTCATCACAAGATAAATCAAATATAAAACTCATGCAATTTTATATTATAAAAATACTAGTGAGAAATGAACTCACCTCTGGTGATCACGACTTTCTCAAACTATTATTCTCCCGAATATCAACCAGAACCTATAATGTAAGATATATGACTAATTATTAACTCAGAACAAACATATATTATAGTTAAATCAATAATAATTAAATTCTACAGTACATATGAGCTTATTATTAACTTTAGCAATTTATTAAAATTTTATAACTCTCACATACTAGCTTTTGTACTTTCTAGTAATTATGATAAAACAGGGGGTTATAAGGAATTTATCAAGCCTAAAAATTAACTTTTATTCTTCAGATTGGACTTGTTTACAAGTAGAGTAAATGACAGGAGCCTAACAGAGATTTTCCAATCCTTTTTCAAACATAACTCATATTATTAAGGTCTGTTTCGAAATTTTTTTATGGTTCAGGGGGCTTAAAGCAATTTTTCCTCTCCTTATCTAAACCTCTGCTTCCTGACTCTTCATCTTCTTCCCCTTTTTTCCTTTCTTTTTTTTCCGTTCCCTTTCTTCTTTTCTTTTTTTTCTTTTGGTTTTTCTTCTCCTCTCTCTCTCTCTCTCTCTCTCTCTCTCTCTCTCTCTCTCTCTCTCGCCCCCCTCTCTCTCTCTCTCTCTCTCCCCCTCTCTCTCTCTCTTGCTCTCTCCATGGCTGCAGGACGGCGACGAGGAAACCGTCGGCGACCAAGAGAGACCGACGACGAGGTCCTTGCCGGATCTAGGGTTAGTTTATTTTTCTTTTTCTTTTTCTCTTTTTTTTCAGTTTGTTTTCATGAATTCTAAACACAAAGTAAAAAATCCTTTTTGTAAACCCTAATTTTTTTAACTTCATAATCATAACAACTTAACTCTCTTAGTCATTCTAATTTTATTCAATTTACTAAGAGTTACTATGAAATTGAAAGGAGATTATACCTCAATTGATTGGGATGTTGATTCAATGCCTTGGTCTCCTTTTCTCCCCTTCACAAGCTTTCTAATACCTCAAGGTGTTTTATGGAGTATGAGAGGATGATACTCTGTCTTTGTTTGTTTTATTTTTTTTCTGTGATTTTCTTTGATTTTCTCTGTTTTTCTCTGTTTTTATTCTCCCGTTAAAGAGGTGCCGACCATATTGTCGAATGAACTTTAGCCACAAAATTTTAACGTGGCAGATAGATGAAAGTTAGGGTGAAATCCCAAAAACACCCTTAATTAATTCCCTAATCTGTAATTAAAAAAAATTCTCCATTAATGAAGTTTTTTTAAGGCACTAATATTTGGGTTATTACACAAACTGGGTTGACATTAAAAATAACGTAGATCATCTGTCCAACCAGGTAGTGTCGCATTTTTTGGATAGTGAACACCAAAGTGAGGCACTCTATCTCGATCATAGATATCGAGATTCAGTCCCTACCAAAGTACGACTCGGATAGTACACTGCCTGTTCGTGACCGTTATTATCATCTTGTGCAAGTAAAGCACTTAATGAGTGGTTCGTCGCTTTAACGTAAATCAAAAACGGTTTACCTGATTTTGATGCAACGAGAATAGGAGGATTCGCCAGATATGCTTTAATGTCTTTAAATACTTTCTGATAGGCATCATCCTAAAATAAATGATACACCCTTCTTTGCGAGCTTAGAGAACGGTTGACATTTTCCGGAGAGGTTCGAGATGAACCGATGAATATAAGTCAATCATCCTTGTAATCCCCTAAGTTCTTTGAGCTTTTTCCGGGGTTACAGTTCGTGTATCATCTTTACTTTTTTGGGATCAAAATGGATATCCCTTGTGGTGACGACGAACCTAAGAAATTTACCGCTAGACATTCTCAGGAA